CATCTCTAACACTGTGTGTTATATAGTATTTGTTCCCTCCTCCTTACACATTCCTTTACATAAAGCTGGAAAGTACCAAACTTTTTCAAAGATATCCTTGCAGGATGCAGGTGGCAATTGTCAATTCTTTCCCAAAGATATTTTCCCCCAAAACATGACTCCCAAATTCCAAAGTAGTACATCCTGTTATTTAAGAAGCACGCACACACATGATATAGTGAACATCCTGTTATACTGGAGAAACTTAAATTTATCCTTACAAGTTCATTAAGTATAAAATAGTGTAGCTGTTCCAGACATCTTTATATCCCACTGTATTCCATCCCCTGCTTCCGCCTGCGACTCCCTTCATGGGAAGCGGTATTATCCAAAAATACATGTCAATGTTAGAGTAAACACACACAGACACTGCAACTGATTAAACATAGTTGAAGGTTACATTCTTATTAGTACATTTAACTAAGACAGTGCTGTTGCTTCAGTCTAAGTGAAGATTATACTTCCATATAAGTACATAAGACTATGCTGGTGCTTCAGTTACAATGTCTCAAACAGTTCAATATTCCACAGCATGTAATCATGGTAACTCCCTTGGAGCGAAGCAGAGCACAGCTCCTTAGAAGCACACACACACCACAACTAAATGAAGGCTATGCATAAAGGCTATCCTCATAAGTACATAAGTGAACATACTATGACCAAATGAAGGCCACACTTTTATCTCCAAAAACAGTGTCCTATTAAGGTAAGAATTTCCAAGCAGTGATAGTGCTTCAGTTATATAGCAACCTTAATGCTTCAATATAGTGTATAAAGATACTAGTGTTTTCTACAATACATATTCTTATGTGTGCACAGTGAACAGTGTTGATGCTTGAATTGCAATGTCTCACACAGTTAATATCTCACACTATCTATCTATCTATTCAGTTTGAGCAAGTCCCTGCTCTCACTCTAACTTGTAGGTTCAGAGATGAAAACTTGATGCTGTTTTTTGTTTTTTCATGCTACTCCAAAATGTATAAATAGCAGTGCCATATTCTGATTTACATTAAGGCACATGTGGTGCCACCCAGTGCTTTAGTTCTCTCAGACAGTATGACTTCTACACAGAGGTGGCCAGAGGGCTGGACACTTTTACATCTTTTGTTGGTGGTGTATTTCTCTCAGGCTGAGGAGCTGGTGTGTCGCCAGAGAGGAGATGCTGAGAACCCACAACTATTTAAGGATGGGGACATTATTCTGGGGGGGATCTTCAATTTCCACAGCTGGAAAGACAAGCAGCATACCTACATGCAAAAACCACTGCCACTGGAATGCACCAGGTAAATTACAGCATAGAATATCTTAGTGCTAGTGGAAACAGGTATATAAACGTTATAAACTGAGTACGGCAATTAAAAACATATTTTTTTAAATTTAAATACTCGGTGGTCTGCCGGAAAACAGTTGCATTTAACTATTCCAGTGTTTCTGTTTCAAGTACTAGTACGAGTGCAACTATTTAAAACTGTCTTCATCAAGTGTGAATTTCAGAGGGTTCCAGTTTGCCCAGGCTATGATTTTTGCCATTGAGGAAATTAATAACAACACAGACCTACTACCTGGCATCTCCCTGGGACATAAAATCTATGATAACTGTGACTCTATTACCAGAAGTGTGAAGGTTGCACTGACCTTGGCTAATGGTAATGAAGTTGTGTCTGCACCCACTGAGGCACCATGTACCAGACCTGCAGAAGTGCAGGCCATTATAGGAGGGACCTCTTCCTCTCCATGCATGGCTATGGCTGCTGTCATCGGACCGTTTCATCTCCCACTGGTGGGTAAGATTAGTAAACATGTAATTTTATTAGTTAAAAAATAATGAATAATCTGCAATTATTCCAGCTGCTCACAGCAAATGTGAGTGTGTTAATGTTTTAAATCTTATATCTTTTTCTTTGGCGGTCATTTCTTTTTCTTACGCTTTGGCCGTCTGTGCTTGTCTCAGTGACAAAACCAAATACCCATCCTTCCTCAGAACAATACCCAGTGCCCACTATCGGAGCATAGCTGTGGCCCAGTTGGTCAAGCACTTTGGTTGGACTTGGGTTGGAGCTATTAGAAGCAATAATGATTATGGCAATAATGGCATGGCTACATTCACAGAAAGTGCACAGCAGCTGGGCATCTGTCTGGAGTATTCTGTGTCTTTCTTTAGAACAGATTCATCAGCAAAAATTAAAATGACAATTGACATTATTAAGGCTTCCACCTCCAAGGTGATTGTAGCTTTTCTCTCAGCCTTAGATATGGATGTGTTAATAGATGTGTTGTCTTACCACAATGTTACTGGGTATCAGTGGGTTGGAAGTGAAGGATGGATCTTTGATTCCCAAAGTGCAGAAAAGAATAAACATCACATTCTGGATGGTGCCATCGGCCTGTCCATCCCCAAAGCACATGTCAGTGGCATGACAGAGTTCATATTAGATGTGAAACCACTCAATTCATCCAGTAATGAATTGTTTACAGAGTTCTGGGAGACTTTATTTAACTGTAAGTTCAAACAGTCAAACTCATCAGCAGAGAATCAGAGAGAATGTACTGAACATGAAGATCTGACTGGAGTGCAAAACAGCTTCACTGATATGTCATACATGCCCCTATTTAATAATGTCTATAAAGGAGTGTATGCTGTGGCACATGCACTTCATATTATTCTTGGCTGTAATAAAACTTGTGACTACAAAGTGCAGCTAGATCCACTCATGGTGAGTTGTACTTTCAATACTTCATAACGTACTGTTTACATATTAAGTAAAAAAAAGAAAGAAAGAAAGAAAGAGCAGTTGAATTATTGAGTAAAAACTGGTACAGTCTGTCTATCTTGCTGTTGTCCCAACTGGCCTACATTATGTTTTACATAAGTAAATCAATACCTTTTTTTTAGATTTTACAGCACATAAGAAAGATTAATTTCAAAACCAAGGAAGGAGATGAGGTTTACTTTAATGAGAATGGAGACCCAGCAGCAAAGTATGAAATTATAAACTGGCAGCCAACAGAAAATGGCATTGTGGACTTTGTCACAGTTGGTCTTTATGATGCATATTTACTTGCAGACAAACAGCTGAGTCTGCAACATAAGTCTTTAATTTGGGCACAGAACTCAAAACAGGTAAGCTATTGTATGATCACTCTGTTTAATATTTAGAGGGTCATCATAGTAATATTGTCCAGTTCCTAGTTATTCTGTTATTGATATCAATCAGTAATTTAAACAAACAAACCTAATACTTTGGAACCAGGACCTGATCCAGTATTTGGATCAATAAGCTCCTGAAAAATACAGTGTGCCTGATTAACTTAGCATTTAGTATGTCAAATATTTAATGAACCTTTACTGAAGGCAAATATAAGTATTAGATCAGAATCAGTATCGGCAGATAGTTAATATTAAAGGCACTGGATTGGCATTGGGGCTAAAAAACTGGATCTGGACATCCCTAATTATTGTTACTGTATCATGCAGGTGCCTATGTCAGTTTGCAGTGAGAAATGCCCCCCAGCGACTCGCAAGTCTCTCCAGAAAGGAAAACCCATCTGCTGCTATGACTGTATCAGATGTCCAGAGGGAGAAATAAGCAACATGACAGGTCTAGTAAAATTTAATGCCAGATTCATAGAGGCAATTCTTATTTTATACTGCATTTATCATGTACAGTGCCTTGCGAAAGTATTCGGCCCCCTTGAACTTTGCGACCTTTTGCCACATTTCAGGCTTCAAACATAAAGATATAAAACTGTAATTTTTTGTGAAGAATCAACAACAAGTGGGACACAATCATGAAGTGGAATGAAATTTATTGGATATTTCAAACTTTTTTAACAAATAAAAAACTGAATAATTGGGCGTGCAAAATTATTCAGCCCCTTTACTTTCAGTGCAGCAAACTCTCTCCAGAAGTTCAGTGAGGATCTCTGAATGATCCAATGTTGACCTAAATGACTAATGATGATAAATAGAATCCACCTGTGTGTAATCAAGTCTCCGTATAAATGCACCTGCACTGTGATAGTCTCAGAGGTTCGTTTAAAGCGCAGAGAGCATCATGAAGAACAAGGAACACACCAGGCAGGTCCGAGATACTGTTGTGGAGAAGTTTAAAGCCGGATTTGGATACAAAAAGATTTCCCAAGCTTTAAACATCCCAAGGAGCACTGTGCAAGCGATAATATTGAAATGGAAGGAGTATCAGACCACTGCAAATCTACCAAGACCTGGCCGTCCCTCTAAACTTTCAGCTCATACAAGGAGAAGACTGATCAGAGATGCAGCCAAGAGGCCCATGATCACTCTGGATGAACTGCAGAGATCTACAGCTGAGGTGGGAGACTCTGTCCATAGGACAACAATCAGTCGTATACTGCACAAATCTGGCCTTTATGGAAGAGTGGCAAGAAGAAAGCCATTTCTTAAAGATATCCATAAAAAGTGTCGTTTAAAGTTTGCCACAAGCCACCTGGGAGACACACCAAACATGTGGAAGAAGGTGCTCTGGTCAGATGAAACCAAAATTGAACTTTTTGGCAACAATGCAAAACGTTATGTTTGGCGTAAAAGCAACACAGCTCATCACCCTGAACACACCATCCCCACTGTCAAACATGGTGGTGGCCGCATCATGGTTTGGGCCTGCTTTTCTTCAGCAGGGACAGGGGAGATGGTTAAAATTGATGGGAAGATGGATGGAGCCACATACAGGACCATTCTGGAAGGAAACCTGATGGAGTCTGCAAAAGACCTGAGACTGGGACGGAGCTTTGTCTTCCAACAAGACAATGATCCAAAACATAAAGCAAAATCTACAATGGAATGGTTCACAAATAAACATATCCAGGTGTTAGAATGGCCAAGTCAAAGTCCAGACCTGAATCCACTCGAGAATCTGTGGAAAGAACTGAAAACTGCTGTTCACAAATGCTCTCCATCCAACCTCACTGAGCTCGAGCTGTTTTGCAAGGAGGCATGGGCAAAAATTTCAGTCTCTCGATGTGCAAAACTGATAGAGACATACCCCAAGCGACTTACAGCTGTAATCGCAGCAAAAGGTGGCGCTACAAAGTATTAACTTAAGGGGGCTGAATTAATTTTGCACGCCCAATTTTTCAGTTTTTTATTTGTTAAAAAAGTTTGAAATATCCAATAAATTTCGTTCCACTTCATGATTGTGTCCCACTTGTTGTTGATTCTTCACAAAAAATTACAGTTTTATATCTTTATGTTTGAAGCCTGAAATGTGGCAAAAGGTGACAATGTTCAAGGGGGCTGAATACTTTCGCAAGGCACTGTATTTGTATAATGCCATATACTGCAGTATAATGCAGCAGCAGCACAAACAACAGCTTCCATAATAATCATTCCGTTGCAGACATGACAGCCTGTACACATTTTGGGTAGCAGGTACACATTTTGATATAACAGTATGCTGGTACAATTTGCCACACTAAAGTACCCAAAAAGCTGGTGACACTTTGTGAGTTTGATCTGTTATGCAGTAATGTTAAAGTTTATCCCAACCATGGATGCATTAAGGGAGAACTGGATACAGCATTGCTAGATGTCCTCTATTTATTTTTATAAAATTGCACAGTTTTGCAAATCATCATGCTTCCAGATTTTAGTTTTAAAAATTACATGGATGTTCTGCACACTTCTACGTTTTTGGGCCCTATAGCGCATTTGCACTTGTATTGAGCCAAGTCTCCCACTGACTGAGCTGGATGACTTCCGGTTAGTGCCGCACATATATGAATGGGATAAAATAAAAATACGCTATCATAAAACTAGACTTTCCAAATGTTACTGGAGCCAGTGAATCAAATTCTGGTAATAAAAAGAGTCATGATAAATGCAGACACTGTAGTAATGCGGCTAGGCTGCTATCACAGATTTGCTTCACAGCCCAGCGCTGTTGCTGGGGGCTTGTCCCCAATGAGCATTTAACCCATAAACAAAGGTCTTCCTGCCAAAAAGCAAAAGAAGAAGAAGAAGAATTCAACCAATCATCGTGCTAGATTTGGGGATGATTGACAAATGTGTAGCTTTGATGTCATTTCAAAAAACAATTGATAGGATTGACAGAAACACTCTTGACCTTGATTATAGTCCTCTTGCTCCTCACTCCAACTGGCTAGTTCCTCAAGTGAAAATGATTCTTTGAACACCTTTAAAAAGGTAAATGAACTGGGGGGAAACACTGTGATTTTAGTTAAATGAACATTAGCCTAACTTTATGTAGGCTAAGCTAGGTACAGCAAGACTTTATTGAGGGTTGGCAGGACTGCAGTTGAAACAAAATTGAATATCATTACCTTCATGAAAGAGGATTTATTGCAGTACTGCTGTTTTAGGCTGCATTAATTATGGCAAGATGGCGACCACCGAGGCAGACGTGTTCGCACGTTCCACTCTCGAATGCCGGCTTTTTCTTCATTTTTGTGTGTTTTTTTACTCTTTCTGCAGTGCACAAATGTCATGCACTTCTAACATACAACAGACAGGCATTGCTGGATATCGCCAACTCACACAGCTACTGGGAATTTACTAGTTTCATACCACCGGAGCTACAACTCATTGTCCGCTCCCGCAACTACAACAACAACAATGACTACCACCATCACTCTCAGGGAGCCCCCGGAGCACCAGGCACAAGCGAGCAGGCTGAAATCAGAAGAGCGACCCAGAGACAGAGACACAAGCGGGGCAAGCGCAGGGGACTCCATGCTAGGCTAAAAGCTCACGCTACCCGACCGCCATTATCCAGCCTCTTCCTAGCTAACGTACAGTCTCTGGAAAACAAACTGGACGAGCTAAGGGCTAGGATTACAGCACAACGGGAAATCAGAGAATGCTGTGCTCTAATTCTCACCAAGACCTGGCTTTCTGACAGAGTCCCGGACTCCGCGATTCAGCTGGAGACTCATTCTGTACATCAAGAAGACCGTGCTGCTGCTTCAGGGAAGGTAAAAGGATGCGGTGTGTTTATGTTTATCAATAACTCGTGGTGTGGAGATGTACAGACTGCTTATAAGCACTGTTCGCCAGATGTGGAGTTTTTATTGCTGAAATGCCAGCCCTGTTATCTAGCAAAAGAGCATAGTGCTGTGTTTCTGGCTGCTGTGTATGTTAGCCCAAGAGCTAATCCCTCTGCGGCTCTCAGTAAACTTTATGATGTCATCAGCGCGCTAGAGACAGCGCACCCTGATGCTGTATTTATCGCTGCAGGGGACTTTAACCAGTGCAATTTATGGACTGTACTCCCCAAATATTACCAGCATGTGAACATTCCCACCCGGGGCAAGAACACTGTAGATCATGTTTTCATTAACATACGGGGTGCATAAAGGGCTGCCCCCCGCCTCCACCTTGGACGCTCAGACCACATTTCTTTGTTCTTGTATCCAGCTTACAGACAAAGACTGAAACAAATAAACCCTGTCACCAAACAAATTAAACTCTGGACCCCAGAGACTGAAGGCACCCTGCAGGACTGTTTTGCCCAGACAGACTGGGATGTGTTTAAAGCTGCAGCCACCACAGAGGACTTTTCTGTCAGCGTACAGGATTATGCTGAGTATGTGACCGGGTACATTAGTACCTGTATTGACAACATTGTGCCCACCATACAAGTCAGGAGGTTCCCAAACCAGAAGCCCTGGATAAACAGTCAGGTACACCACATGCCGCATGCTCGCTGTCATGCATTCAGATCCGGCGATGAGATGGAGTACAAAGCTGCGAAGTACAGACTGAGGAAAGCCATCACAGCGCCTCCTATTCTGCCGCTGACTGTGGACGGATGTGGCAAGGCCTGCAGCACAACCTATTGGCCTAACAGCCTATTGGCCCAATAGGGCCACCTCAGACGCCATCGCGGCTGCCCTCCACTATTCCCTTTCCCACCTGGAAAATGAAGACTCTTACATCAGGATACTATTCATTGACTACAGCTCCACCTTCAACACAGTTGTCCCCCACAAACTCACCCACAAACTGTCCACACTGGGTCTGCACCCCACCCTCGGTGACTGGCTCCTGGACTTTCTCTCGTATTGTCTCTCATATCTACATTAGAAGTCATTCAGGTCATCTGCTAGTTGATGGTCTTCCACAGCAGAGGGGTATGGTTTCCTGTAGCCAGTGATGTTTGTCAGGCTTTTCCACACAGATGAGGGGTTGTTGGCTGAAACCTGGGTTTTCAGCTTTTCAGAGCAGCTCCTCTTTGCTACTCTGATCTCCCTTGTGAAAGTGTTCCTGGCTTGGCCATACAGAATCCTGTCCCCTCTTTTGTAGGCCTCCTCTTTAGCATGACGAAGCAGCTTGAGTCTTAATGTAAACCAGGGCTTGTTGTTGTTGTATGTGCAGAAGGTCTTGGTGGGCACACACACACATCCTCGCAAAAGCCAATGTATGATGTCATTGTCAGTGAGTTCATCCAGGGCTGTAGCTGCAGCTTCAAATACATTCCAATCTGTGCAATCAAAGCAGCCCTGTAGTGCTGACTTTGCCTGCTCAGTCCATCTCTTCACTGTTTTGACCACAGGTTTTACAGCTTTAAGTTTCTGCCTATAGGTTGAAATAAGATGGACCATGCAGTGATCTAAGAGTTCGAGGGCTGCGCGGGGAACAGAGCGATAGGCGTATTTTATTGCTGTGTAGCAGTGGTCCAATGTGTTTTTGTCCCTGGTGGGACAGGTGATGTGATGCCTGTATTCGGGCAGTTCTTGGGTGAGATTTGCTCTGTTGAAGTCTCCTGGAACAATGAGTGGGGAGTTGGGATGTTCCCATTCCATGCTAGTTATAAGTTCAGCCAGGAGCTGTAGTGTGCTAGCATGGGCCTGCAGTCTTATGTACACTCCGACTAGAATTAAAGACTTAAATTCTCTGGGATAATAAAAGGGTTTGCAGTTGATGAAAAGAGTCTCTAAGTCCATGTTACATGTTCTCTCTAGCACCATGACATCTGTGCACGAACCTTCATTTATGTAGAGACAGATTCCCCCTCCTTTCCCTGACAGCTCCAGAACACTAGAACTTTCCTCCTACAGAAAGACTCTTAAAAGCTGACAAGTAATAATTCACAAGATCCAGTAAAATCTGAAGTGAATTCAGTATGAGTTGTGTGTGAACTCTTAAGTATTTATGTGGGACTCCCATAAACATAAAAGTATAAAGTATCTGTCTTGTATAGACAGAAAAGTAGCACCAGAAAAAAAGGTTAATCTACTGAGCAAGTCTGACATCTGGTTTTATATAATTTTTCAGATTCTGTCACCTGTGAGCGATGCCACCCTGAATCCTGGTCCAATGACAGAAGAGATGCCTGTGTAAAGAAGGAGGCAGAGTTTCTATCATATGAAGAAATTATGGGAGTACTGCTCACTGCAGCAGCCTTATTTGGAACATGCATGACTGCTGTTGTGGCAGCCATTTTCTTCAGATACAGGACAACTCCTATTGTCAGGGCCAACAACTCTGAGCTGAGCTTCCTGCTGCTCTTCTCCTTGACTCTGTGTTTCCTGTGTTCTCTGACCTTCATCGGCCGGCCCTCTGAGTGGTCCTGCATGCTGCGACACACAGCATTCGGCATCACCTTTGTCCTCTGTAT